TGTACATTTCTATAGTCATTTTCATAATATTGATTCTTCCAAACCAGGAGCATGGTATATCTCTCCATCTGTTTATGTCATCTTTGATTACTTTCATCAGAGTTTTATAGATTTCTGAGTACAAGCCTTTTACCTCCTTAGGTTGGTTTATTCATAGGTATTCTATTCTTTTTTTGCAATGGTAAATGGGATTGTTTCCTTAATTTCTCTTTCTGATCTTTTATTGTTAGTGTATAGGAATGCCAGAGATTTCTGTGCATTAATTTTGTATCCTGAAACCTTACCAGATTCACTGATTAGTTCTAGTAGTTTTCTGGTGGCATCGTGAGGATTTTCTATGTATAGTATCATGTCATCGACAAACAGTGACAGTTTTACTTCTCCTTTTCCAATTTGTATTCCTTTTATTTCTTTTTCTTCTCTGATTGTTGTGGCTAGGACTTCCAATACTATGTTGAATAGTAGTGGCAAGAGTGGACATCCTTGTCTTGTTCCTGATCTTAAAGAAAATGCTTTCAGTTTTTCACCATTGAGAATGATGTTTGCTGTGGGTTTGTCATATATGACTTTTATTATGTTGAGGTAGGTTCCCTCTATGCCCACTTTCTGGAGACTTTTTATCATAAATGGGTGTTGAATTTTGTCAGAAGCTTTTTCTGCATCTATTGAGATGATCATATGGTTTTCTCCTTCAATTTGTTAATATGGTGTATCACATTGATTGTTTTGCTGACTTTATTTTCAATAGAACTATCTACTAAATTGCAGAAACTGTAGTCTAGGACTAATCTTCTAAGTGGGTGAACAAATTTTAAAAAAGAAAAGGAAGGAATAACTTCTACTAGTATAACTCTTATTAATATTTCAGCCCTACATACCAAATTGAGAATTTATTCTTTATTATGTAGTGTCTTCTATTCAAAGTCATTCAGTGAATATTTCAGTTATTTATTGCACATCGGATTTGTTTTTGTGCTATGATAGCTCTTCTAGAAATGTAGTTATAACACAGGCTATGTGAAAATTTACAAGGTGCTAATGAGCTTTCTTCAAACACCACAAATTATTTAAGTAGCTTAATGCTGTTGTTATTTTTACAGTGTCAGAGGAGTTTTCACACTAATGTGAGGCAGCCACATAATTTATTTCTCTGTTTTCAAACTTTCAAGTATAAATCAAAAACATAAGCATAAATTCAAAGAATGACAAAATTTATTTCTTTCAAATGTTTATGTTAAGGAGTGTTTTTAATCCAGGGAAATATAATACAGTAATATGATTGATTTTAGTCTTTGATCTGAAAACTTTTATTCCAGATTTGAGATAGGGCATGTGTAATGAGATGTTAAAACATTTAACTTGAATATTTAATTTCTACCGATTTTGGTTTTATACACCATATTAAAATTCGATCCATGTATATATTTATACTAAAAACCTCTCTGTGATAGCTGTTCTCATTCCTTCACACTTGAAAGTCAATTTTTTTCTTGTATGGAGATGTAAACATTGGATTGCTATCAGTTTTCTATTTTCTTAAGGAACCCTTGGACTTGAGAGTGAAGTCTAATTTTCAGTCACAAGCAGAGCTAAGGGTCAGAAGAGAAAGATAGGCAATTCCAAAGGATAAGTGGAGGTTGAGTTCTGGGTCTAGCACTAGTTTTGAGCTCTTGAGGTTATGGCAGACTTACCTGTACTGTTAGGTTAAGAACAGTAGGAAGTGGGAAGTGGAGGGGAAGACAAGATTTCAATATCTATCTCATTTAGTGAAGAAAGCGCCCAGTAAAAAATGTGAAACCTAGACACACTTAAATTCCCACCAAGGAAATAATTGAAATCAGTTTAACACTGATCTTTTCAATGACTGAATTTCTAAAGTAATATTCTACTTACATGGCAGTATATTTAATACTTTTTGAGAACAAGCCCTCAGGGCTGCCAGACTCAGGATTTAATTCCAGCTTCAATGCTTACTAGCTGCAGGTCTTGAAAAATTTCCTCATATGCTCTAAATCTCAGTTTCCTCATCTCTGAGATGGGAATGCTAGTAATGCATATTTCCTAAGGTGGTTTCTAGGTTTAAATTAGTTAACAAAATTAAGTACTTAGCTGAGTGCCTGGAACAGATTTCAATTTCAATGAATTTATATAGTTTATTGCTTTTGTGAAATGATATGATGCATGACCCACATCAGATGAGTAGTAGTATCAACAATATAAAATAATAGTGATCTTTTATTGAGTTTATAATATGTGCTGAGAAAATCTCAGTACTTTATATAAGTTAAATTTTTTCAACTAATCTAGAGAGAGATGAATAAAGTGGTGCTTAGAGAGCCCACTTCATAACTGGAGTGAAGTCTTAAGACTAGGAAAAAGCCTAACCCATGGCTAATGCTTAAGAGAGACCTGATCCTTAAGAATTGTAGATGGCAATTAGTATGCTTATTGTTAGCAAGAACAAGTGCTAGGTTCTCCCTTAAATTATCATTTTTAAGTCTTTGAAACTGCAGCGGCTTTATTTATAAGTAAAGCAAACCCAGGTCATGTTTGGAGACACTGAGCACACTAATCGGCCTCTGATGTTAAAACCACAATTGCAAGCATATGTGCTTTGTACATTTCTGCTAGGGTTTTGGACATGTGCCACAGGCTAGCACTTTGCCTTGACATTGCTCCTCTGCAGACAGATGGCAAATTCTTTGCTGATTTTCAATTAAGTGCATTTTTTTCAGAAGCATTTAAAGTATTGAGCATCCAGAAATTTTGGACACATGCACGGGAATCCTTATGGAGGCAGGAAAATAAATTTCTGATAGTTTAGACTAAACTATCAGACATAGTTTGACATAGATATTTACTGAAATGGTGACATTTTTCCTCTAGGTTTTCACAATCAATTTCTCATTGTTTCTTTCACTTAGGCTGGGTTTTAGCAAAGGCAGCTCTGATCCATAGTGTAGTTTTTATCTGACTAACCTAACTCTGGTTTCATAACTTCAAACTGGCTGATGAAAAATTTATTTAAATATTGTGCCTCATACTTCAAAAGGAACATGTGTGTTTCCTTCAACAGTACATTTTAAAATAAAAAGACATGCACTGTTAACTTTGGAAGTTAATACTTTATTTGATTTTAACCAAAGATTGTATCCTTGTATACAAAGTACATGAATTTCTATACAATAACTATATAAGTAGGAATAACGGGAAAATTAAGAATGCTTCCTCAATATCATATACTAAGTAAATCTTTATGTCTACCAGCTTTATTATTTTTCCTTTCAGTCATCTTTACTGATAAGAATGGATCATAAAATGTTCACACCATAAGGGGGCTTCAAGGTTATTGAGTTGAGTATCTTTCTTTCACAGGTTCAAAAAATAAAGGCCAAGAACGTTCAAGAAGTTTCCAAAATGACACAGATAATGGAAGAATTTAAACCTTGATCTGATTAAGGTTAAGTGCTATTTCCATCACACATGTATTGTCCTTACTGATTGTCAATTATGTAAACAACATTATGGTGTATTATTTTTTGGGGGGGGGGTTTTAAAATTGTTTTATTTGGGAAAAGTGCGTCTTACAAAAGGGCAGCTGCAAAATACAGAGACCTCTGCAACAATTACTTGTTTTTGCTTAACGTGAAAGAATGAGTGGTATCCAAGGAATCAAAGCAGTAGATGGACAAATCAGGGGCATCTCCAAGTTATTTTCAGGAAATAGAGCAACAAAACGCAAATTTATAATTTCTGATCAAGGAATTCTTCTAACAATTTAACTTTAGCTTATCTCGTGGATTACCACCTCTCCGTCCCCTTTTAGTGGAAAAGCATGACTTACTACTGCAAACCAATTACTCCACTACAGGAAACACCTTAGAACATAGTTTTGAATCACACCTGTCTAGCTGCAAAGCTCAGGGATGGAATGAGGCAAATACCCACAAAAACGAACAGAAAAACCCGACAACAAAACCCCTCAAATGAGGACAAAGGTTTGTCAAAAAGTGCCTGGACTAGAAAGTCTAGGAGATCATAAAACATTAAATACAACTGTGTAACTGAGACCCAGTTTGTGTTAATACATGAGACAACCAGATAGTTTGAACTTCTATGGCTAAGCCCATTTCCCTATTTATAGAGACAGAGCTAGCCCTGCTCTATTAACAGCTACCAATGTACTGCTTTGTCCTTTAAGATCTATTTGCCACACGAGGCTGAAACCACTAAACTTGAGTTTTTCCACTAAGGCTACAGACACTGCATCTATGCAGGGATGAGAAGCTTGTTACACACTCACACGTACCAAGTCTATCAGCCCTTGGGAGTCAACTTCCAACTCTGCATTTATTTTATTCCACTATATCTTTATATGTGTTCTTTCACAATTTTCCTATCAGGCTAAACACAGTAAAATCTCAACACAGTCGCACCTGGTTCTGGTTACCCAGCAGTAGTACTTGTGTGCAATTAAACAAGAGACCAAAACCACAGAACAAGTGCACAGGGTGGGGATTACAGGGCAGGGAACAGATATAAAAACACAGATGTGCAGAATTCACCAGAAACCTCAAGCATCTGCCTAAGTCTATAGCAGAAGGCTACATGCCACAGTTCAGATCCTTCACCTATCACCCCAATTCTTGGACCCCACAGCAGGGCCAATGCTGTTACTTTTGAACCTGGGGTCCTCAAAAGTGAGTACTGCAAATCCAGAAATGCTACCCTTGAACTGTGTGAATCTGGCTGAAAACAGATGACGCAACAAACCTACACTCTAACTGTCTGACAGTTAAATTCATGTTACAAAAAAAACTAACTTTAAGATTTATTTTTGTAACTTTTTGAAACAGAGAAAACAACATACTCCTTGGGGAAAGGTGAGGAATTGAGAAGACAGGCCCTGGGTAAAACTTATTATGACAGCACCGGGAGTTGAGAGGCCTGCCTAGAAGAGAACCACGGGCGCTGCCGCCACGAGCGGGGACGGCTGCCGTCTGAGGCTCAGCAGACCAGTTCACACGCTCTGCAAAGCTGCTATAGATCCAAGTCATAAAAATCTTCCAGCTCATCGTGAAACAAGTCCCACTCGTCTTCAGAGTCCGTCAGGTCGTCGTCCCCACCTGCAGCCAAAAGCATAAGCAACATCTCGCCCAGCTCGAAGGTGACAACCTCTTCGTCGTCGTTGTCGAAGGGGTTGCCGTGCTCTCTTTCCTTAATGAGCTCCCAGAAGTGGTTCCTTCGTTGGGCCCGGTATCTGCTTGATGTTCCCACTTTCTGTCTCTGTGGCTCCTCCCTACGGCCATCAGGGTACGCATGCTTGTAAAAACAGTTCCCTCCAAATGGACAGCTCCCACGTCCTTCATCAAAATACCTGCACGCCTTGTTGCTCATTGCCTCCTTGTATTTCTGAATGAGTTTCTGCTTCTCTTCTTTCTCCTCCACCCAGTACTCACTTGGAATGACAAAGTTAGATGTGATGCGGCATTCTGGGCAGGACTTTATGATCTTGCTCTCAAATTGCTTAGCACTCCTCCACTTGCGAATACACTTGAGACAGTAGGTGTGGTTGCAGTTGGAGAGGATCCCGAAGTGGCGCTCGCTGGGGTTGGCTTTTTCATAGACCACCTCCATGCAGATCCCACACACCATGTCCTTGCTGCGCTGCACGGCAAACGAGAGCTCCATGTCCTTCTCATGGGCCTCGATGCAAGATTTTATATGTTGTGATCTTTGGGCAGCATCCATTGGATGGAGGACCTGCAGCCCACACATATCACACGAGTCTCCGTGGAGATACACACAGTTCTCCCCATACCGGCACTCTCCCACCGCAGCATAGGGGCAGAGCTGCTTCTTTGTTTCCACTGCAGTTTGCTCCTTCTCTGATTCTTCCTTGGTCACTGAGCCCTGCAGGGGTGCTTCAGTGGAGGAAGGGGCAGTACGGCCACAGTAGGGCTGCCCAGGAACAAACTCAATGGCGTTCACCCAGTCTTCTGAACCTGCTCCTACAGTTGAAAAGTTTGAATTTCTTGACTCAGCTTCGCACATATTCATTTCAACAATCGGTCCAACTACTGATGAGAGACTTGAGGAAGCAGCAAGGGGTGACTTTGCAGTTAGATCTGTAGCAGTTGCTTCTTCCTGTTTCAATGGCTTGCTGTGTTCATATCTGCAGCGGTCTCCGTAAATACAGTACCCTCGCTGAAAATACTTGCACACTACACCATATGGACTGTCAGAGAGGTCATGTGAGTATCGACAGTTATCTCCTTCCTTACAAACCCCATGCATGAAATACCTGCAGGTGACCTGTTTAGTCCAGCCGCCGCTGCTGCCGTCGCTGCCGCCTCCCCCGCCCCCCGCCCCCAGGGACGGGGAGGTGACTGTGGGGGTAGGGGTGGGGGAGGCCACTGCCGCCGCTGCCGCTCGTGCTCCTGATGTTGTGGCTGTTGTTCCGGGAGCTGCAGCCTCCGCCATTACTGTTTATCCCACACAGCAATGGCGCCGGAACTTCCGGGATCACATAATTCCGGTCCGGCTGCGGGGAGGAGAAGGCGGCAAGGCGAGGGGTGGAGAAGGGCACTGAGGCACCCGCTCGTTCCCCTCTGCCCCGCGTCGCGTCTCGGTGTATTATAATATTAAGGCCACCTCATAATTTATTGTCTTCCACAGACTATAAAACATAGTAACATTCTGTACCTCTATTTACTAGAAATAATTGGGTAAAAAAGAAATGAGAGCAGATAATTCAGGAGGAGATATAAATCAAACCTGTGCAGAACTGAATGTGGAAGTATGTATGTTCACACCCACACACCCACATACACAGTCACTCAATAAACATTTTTATATGTACAAGGACTGTACAAATACACACACAAGTGCTCCTGAAAAATTATGAGTGGGTTGTGAAAGAAGTTTTGGTGTAAAAATTACTAGGATATCTACAATACTAATATTTATTTAAGATCCATTAGTGTTGACCCTTCTCAGTTGAAGAATGTTTTATTGTGGAAAGAGATTTTGCTACTGACCAAGATGGAAGGTAAAAAATTACTCAATAGGGGCAGACCTGTAATGCAGGCATGCTTCAGTGCCCTCAGTTCTAATATCAGATCCTTCTCAAATCCTAACTTATGGTATTCTTGCTCCATTTCTATCCTCAAGTTACTACAATATGTACCATTACCATTAATCTATTAGTTGTGTTGTCAAAAATTTTGGAAAAAGTTTTAATTTATTTTGAAATATTTCAGATATATAAAAGGCATAAAGAATATAAAAATACTCTATCTCCACTATTAACAAATAAAACTTAGAGTTAAATCTTTACTGATTGTATTCCTCTTCCACACAGAGGTGCTTAAAATTCTGAATTTGTATTTTTTATCCTCTTGCATTTCTTTATACTTTACTAAATATATCTGCACTCTGAACCACTGTGAACAAACTAGAACTACTCTTATCAAAATAATGAGTCAAAAATATTTTTTATGTAAAAATAAAGGAAGATATTTGGTAAAAAACATGCATTTTATACATAGTAATCATATAAACTTTCACTTAATTTTGCATCCATTTATAAACATATCTCCCTATATTTTTCCTAGTTTAGATCTACTTCATGTGCCTGACTAAACAATGCATCATATTTTATTTAATAAAAACTCTACTCCCTGCTTGCATTCACTAATAGATAGAATCATGTGAACTTGTTTCTATGACCTAGCAACAATGAGCAATGTACCCAATTACTGTCTTTATTATTTCGGATCTCTCAGAAGGGGATATTATTGTTTCCTCCTGTCTCCTAACATCTGACATTGTGCCATAGCATCTAAGAGCTTTATTTACCAAGATGCACATTACTTCTCATTGTTTGGATTTCTGTGTGTGTGTGTGCATGTGTGCATGTGTTTGCATGTTGTTGCCATTCACACCAGTTGTTCATTCTCCATTCTTGCTGCTGACATTTTATCACTACCTGGAAGGAATATGAATATTTCTTTTAAATCTCAACCATCTGATCTCTCTATTGTACAATGTAATATATAGAATGATATCTGCTCACCAATAGCTTTTGCTCCTTGGATGTATTTTACCTGAGACTCACAACTTCTGATATATTGATATATGAAATAATATATGTTGAATGAACCACTTAAAGCTTTAACACAAAGATCTTCATAAGGTATGAGAGACTGTTTGAATATAACCTTATTAATCTGGGTTGCTGCTTTCTCTTGCTCTGCTTTTGTCACAAAAAGCAGTCGTTGTGCATTCCTGTGTTACAAAAGCACATCTATGCATAGAGTAAAATGAACAATTAAAGTAGTTAAGTATTCTGTGCAAAAATAGGAAACCATAATAATCCAAGGAAGAAGAAAGAATACCACTGAATAGTTGATTCTAAAAACCCTAAGGAGATTTCCCATTAGAATTAAATAATATAAAATCCAGTTACCTCTAACCCTTATCAAAAGTCCCATTCTCTTGTGAGAGCAAAAACAATCACATCAGACACATATATTGAGGAAATGTAATGAAGAGCAATGAAACTTAATTGAAGTGCTCTTGGCCATTGGGGTCAGGCCTTCTGTGGATTAGAGGCACAAGCTCTTAGGCCTCGTTCTTAGTATTGCTATTTAATGTCAGTTAATTATAGGTGAGTTCATGTTCTCCTGCTGCATTTAAATTAGTCAAAGTTATGTTTTGAAATGTGTAAATACAGATTCAACCTTGAGGAAATTTGCTAACAATATTAAATAATCAAATTTACAAGTAAGAAAGTTTTCATTTTACTGGTCGTGATGGACACACTCAACAATTCTCATTACTATCTACATTTATGTTTAAATAAGAAATGAAGAGGCTAAATAGGGTTTACTAATTTATTTTGAAAAAATGACATATTTTAATCAATGCTTTACTAAGAAAATAATTGCATTATATCAATAATCAGTTATTTCAATGGAATAAATTATATTTGCCTTCAACATGTCTACATTTAAAATATTTCAAAGCCTCATAGGGGTAGGGGATTGAGGGGTACAAGCTATTATGTATAAAATAAGCTACAAGGATATATTGTACAACACAGGAAATGTGGCCAGTATTTTATAATGACTATAAATGGAGTATAACCTTTAAAATTGTGAATCACTATATTGTACACCTGTAACTTATATAATGTTGGACATTAACTATACTTCAGTAAAAAAAATATTTCAAAGCCTCATCATTTATCTTAAAGTTACGTGCGTGCGTGCACACACACACACACACACATGCACACACACTCAACAGATAGTATTTGTTTGGGCCCATATAGTAAAATTTGTTCTTTTTCCTTCATTTGAATCATTTTTTTTCTTTTCTTTGACCTGAAGTAATAGTTTTCCTCTTGATAATTCATCTAGTCGTTCTAGTTGCTGGAGTTCCACAGGTGCCTCTATGAACAAGTAGGTGGAGATCAGAACTTCACACCAGCAGGGCAGGTGGACAGTGCATTCTTTCATTGCATCTCTCCACTGGGATATGACCTTGACCTTCATAAGCAGCACTCACTAGATATCTCTGAAGAAATGTAAAGTAAGATACACAATAACTGAGTAGAGGAGAAATGATAGAAGTAATGTGATATATGTAAAGAAATATGATAGTCATTTTTAAATGATACTATCCTTCAAACATTATGAAAGGACAAGATGAAATTTAAAAAGTTATGAATTATTGACTTTTCTTATAATATATAATTGTAAAAAACAAAGTGGGTGTTTAATAGTTTTCAAATAACAACTCTGGACGTTTATTAATACTTTTCCCCAACCCATACACACACACACACACACACACACATACACACACATATGGCATCACGCTGACTTTTCTTTGAAAAACAATACTTTGGTATCACTGTTGAATGTTTTTGAGGTAACTTATAAAGAGAAAGTTGAGTTATGTGTAATATTAATGTGATGAGTGACCATACATAAAAAATAAGATCAAAGAATTGATGTTATTCCACAGATATCTTTAGCATTGCCAAAGACCTTTCCTTTGCTTTTATACTTTTTAATTTTTATCAGTAATTTAAAGAACATTTCAATCAAGGTACAGATAACAAATATTTAAATCTCTGGGTAAAGAATCATAATCCAAAATGATCCTGAGAGACTGGAGCACATGCTTAATATGATACGTTTATATTCAAAGGGAGTAATTATATAGCCTTATTAGTAAAAGTTAATAGATGAGATCATAGAACACCTGAGATAACAATCATTTAAATAAGATATATAATTAATTTAATGAAATAAAATATAATAAAATCACAACATTCACCAATTGACAGTCTATTAGTTATAAAAGACAAATTTAAGCTAAGAACAGAATTTCTCTAAGTGAAAATTATTTTTATTGCATTTGAAATTTTTATTACCAAAAAAGGGGTTAATGTACTGAATGATGTATTTTCAGACATTAAAAATAATTTAGCCAAGGAAGACAAAAATGAAGGTGATAATACAGATAAAGTTAGAAAGCAAAGAAACAGAAAACAAACATAATATAAAGAAAAAAAAATAAATGCAATGTTTGTTCCGTTAAAAAAATAAAATAAGATAGAAAAGATTGAGCAAGAAACAAAAAGGAATAGACACACATAAAATATAATATCAGTGATAATAAATCAGAAATATCTGCATGTGAAAATAAATATAATGTTAACTTTTGAGGATTGTGATAAAACACCAAAGTTTCTAGAAAAATATAACTTGCATGTGAATCACAGAAAACCTGGATACCCCTATAAATTCTAAACGAACTGAAATATTCATAATAAAACTCACAAGGAAAACACATGGTCCAGGTGATTGTTAAAGTGAAGTGCCACGAGATGTTCCTGGAACATATCATTCCAATGGTGGCCAAAGTTTTCAAGCAAATATATAAGAGGGAATACTCTCCAGCTCACTCAGTGGTGCTAGATTACCTTCATACCAAAAAGAGATAGAAACTTTACCAAGGAGTATTATAGTCAATTTCTTCCTCAACAAAGAGCACAGTATCTTTAACAAACTACTAATGCTATATTCTAGTAGTATAAATAATAGTTAATTCAAAATGAAAAGTTGATTTTATTTTGGGAATGAACAAGTATAGGTAAACAAATGAAATCTATAAATACTATTTAATGCATTAACAGAGTAAACATAATAAAAAATATACATGGCAGATTCAGAATATGTATTGTCAAAGTCTGATATGTCTTCCTAGTATTAAGAAAATCTTTAAAAACCTAGGAAACAAAGAAGGCTTCTGTAACATGATGAAGATTACCTACAAAACTTTTATTGCACAACATAAACCTTGAAAAATTGGGAAATCCTAGGACAATAATTTTAAAATAAATAATACAAGGATCTCAACAATCACAGTTTATCATAAACATTATACTCATATTCTTAATTAGCATAATGAAATAAGCAAAATAAATTAATGACATAAAGATTAGAAAAGACAAAAAAGAATCATAATTTTTCCAAGATAACATGATGGGTTGTTGTAGAAAACTCCAAAGACTCTGTAGGTACACT